AAGATGGTAATATCTATTATTCTCATGTACTTCTCTGAAGATGTAGCAAAAGAATAAACTTTTTATAAAATAATGATTCCAAACTCTTTCTTCCGTTTGCCTTATTCTCTGGACTTGAATGGTTAGGAGTTCCTTTTCATTTTTCAGATGAAGGTTCCCTGGTAATAGAAGAACAAGTGGCCTCCACTTGTGTTGAAAATGCATCAGAGAAAACTGAGGCTGAAACATCATCTGATGGAGACCAAGTTCAGAATGTCCCTGTTTCGGAGGTTGGTGAACTTCAACGTTACAAGAGAAGGTTAAACCATTCGTCAGTTAAGAGTGAAACTGTGATAGGCTATAGCAAGGTTGCAACGAAAAAGGAGAAGCTGTCAATTGAATCAGAAGACCTTTCAGGTTCTGTAAAATGATTCCATGAATCTTCTTAACTGAGTTTAGTTCATATGTTTATCTGGGTTCAGTTCACTTAATGAAGAGGACTGGTGTATCGTTGTTATCTATCCAGGTCACAAGCTCTCGAGGACAAGAAAGAAAACATCTTCAGAAACTATTAGTTTTGATGTCAAAACTGATGATAAAATAGCTGAGCCATGGACAGTTCTTGCGCATAAGAAACCTCAGAAAGATTGGATTCCTTATAATCCTAGAACCATGAAACTTCCACCGCTTGCTAGGGATACTAAATTTTTGAAGCTTATGTCTTGGAATGTTAATGGTTTAAGGGCATTATTGAAGTTAGAGGGATTCTCTGCTTTGCAGCTAGCCCAAAGGGAAGATTTTGATGTACTGTGTTTGCAGGAGACCAAACTGCAGGCAAGTATTTTAGTTCTTATTTTTGCTTCTTAAAGCTTAAACTCATGTTTGATGATACTGTTGACACATCATTGTTTTGCAGTTACATTTTTTTGTTTCAACATCATATATTGCTTTGTGATTGGTAAAGAATTGACTGACTCTTTGGCTTCTATACTAAGCCCTCTCGCATGTTGAGCATTGGGCGACAATCCTGTTAAGAAATGGCATGAATTGCCTAATATTATTTTTGTATTAACTTTATGGGCCAATTTAAGGCTCAACATTCATTTTCGGGTATGTTCTCCTGTGAATAGGATTGGATTCTTGTGACTAGTAAAGTTTCAAATATTTATTCCATTCAAAATATTGAATTATTTGGAACTGGAATATTCTTATTTGTGTCACCGGTTATTTTAAATTCTTTCTTCTAGTTGAGACAATCAAGCTAAACCTTATGAGTTTTGGTGTTGTGCTTTAAGGAGTCGGTCAGTTTTTCCTTCAATTATGTAAATGTGGTGTCCGTCTTAATGTGCTAATTTCTAGTGTTCATTACAAATATAGCTTTCTTATAGCATTTTTTGTGTTATGTATAATCACATTTATTAAGTTTGGGAACAGGAGAAGGATGTTGAAGATGTGAAAAGGTCTCTGATAGATGGGTATGAGAATAGCTTCTGGACATGTAGTGTTTCCAAGCTTGGTTATTCAGGAACTGCAATTATTTCAAGGGTATACTGTATTCTTTCTTCATGATGACAGTCAATTTCATGTCTTTACGACATGCATTTGGTTATTTCTCTTTGTTGTGTATAACACTATCCATTTATGCGTGTTGCATAGCGTCGTGGCTGTTAGCCTAACTTTTATCACATAATTGAGCTTTTAACAAAATGGAGATTCCTTTCTCTTTTATCACATACGTGAGCTTTTAAAACCAATACTGAACCTGAAACTTATGGGTCTAGTGATTAGCGGAATCTTGTTTCTAGGTTGTTTAAGAATTTTTGTAAGGAAATGCGATTTTGAGAATAGAAATGTGACTGTTAATTTTTATTTTCTCTAAATGTATGCTATATTGCTCGAAATATAGACTGGCTATGTTTGCCTAAGAAATTTGCAAATGCTACTTTCGTTACTGGGATTTAAGAATGAAATGAGTTTGATTAATTAAGTCCATTCTTAACTATCTTGGTTTGAAAAACAACCTTTTTTCTTCTTCTTTTTTCTTGGTTATCTTATTAAACTGCTAGTTAATATTGGCTTTTGTCTGACAGATAAAGCCACTTTCAGTCAGATATGGCATTGGCATATCAGATCATGATAGTGAGGGGCGGATTATAACAGCAGAGTTTGATTCATTTTATCTGATAACTGGATATGTTCCTAATTCTGGAGATGGTTTGAGACGACTGGTATTGACCTCGAGTCCTTTGCAGCCTAATTACATGGGGTAGTATTCTGCTTGGCTAACAACTCCATTTTATTATTTCAGTCATACAGGATTAATGAATGGGATCCATCTCTCAGCAATTACATGAAAGTAAGTGTGATTTTATTTGTTCTTTCTCAGAAAATTTTCTGCTAGCAGGGTTTTGTTTGTTTGTTGGACTTAATTCCTTTTTTCACAATGCCTTTATTCAGGCAGAATTTATTGTTATTTATGTTGAATACATACATCTTACTCAAGTAATGTGTGACCGTCATATTAATATTAATATTCAAGTCAATACTCAGCACAACCAAATTCAATTTGAATATTCAATTATAAATTTGGAAAACTGATTTCTCTTCTGGCTGATTAGTGCATACCTGTCATGTCTCCTCAAATTTGAAGAATCCAAAATTGGTCTAGACAGCATGTCTCGGTGCTTATAACCTTAAATAGTTTAATTGGACACAAATACTGTTCGGTTGAATATTCATGTTCTTAAAATTTTATCTGCTTTTGAAAAAGCATAGTTATGAAAATTCTGTGGCAATTTCTTGATGCTTATGGGTGCTTTCATTGTTGATTCAGGAGCTGGAAAAGTCAAAACCTGTCATTTTAACAGGTGATCTGAATTGTGCTCATCAAGAGATAGATATTTATAACCCAGCTGTAAGTTTTCCTGATTTGTTGTCAAAGAACTTTTATGATTCCCTGATTGATCACTCAACCTTGAAAAACAATATACTTTTCGTAATATATCAACTCACAAAAATCTTTCAAAAATAACATAATGTATGACAGTGCCCTTGTTTAATGAATCTAAACGTTTTAAATTTTGTAAGACAATGAAATGTTAAGATGAGTCAAGATCTTTGATATTAATAATGGAAAAAACGAAATCTTTAAAACCAACCCAATGAACCAAAATAAAGCCTTCCAAGCTTCACCCAACAAATTAATCACCAAAAAAATGTTTATCTTAGAATTCCGTTATGTCCATTGCCAAATTTCTGGTTTCAATCTGCAGTAGAGGAAGTGTATTATTGAACTCGGCCAATTTAGGATGCCTTTACGCTTTAGTTAGATAAGTATCTCTTGTTTAGCACCTCAGCTTGAAATGAAATAATAACTGATAGCACTTGAGATTGTGTTCCCCTAATCCAACTTAAAAGAAAACGCAGCATACATCCTAGGTATGCTTTTTTGGTGACTTTGTATGAATATGAAGGGACTATAAAGAGGCAGGAACATTTGGCATTGGTGTAAAGTTCAGCACTGCTGAAAAACGTTTTATAGGATTTGTTTTTCAACAATCCACCTGTTGAATTTAGTGCTCTAATATTACTCATAAGGTTTATCAAAGACAACCTATCAATCAAGAAGATTTGAGATTTTGGATTGATATGAAATTTGACTATCATAATGAGCACACTTGAGCAGTAAGTTCAACGGCAGATAAAAATTAAACATCCTATAAGAGTTTTACGGGATGGAAAGGTAGTGATTTTTACAGTGGTGTCACTTGAAAACAAATCCTGTACTTTCGCCATTTTCCCTCCAGATATTAACATTTTCTATGGAAAAATTTAGGTGGTAAATTGAACATAAGTAGGGGAGTGCTATGCCTCTCCAGTCTCTTCAGTGGTTTATGGGGTTGTCTTTTGTTGATCCATCTACAGGGAAACAAAAGAAGTGCTGGGTTTACCGATGAAGAAAGGCAATCCTTTGGGTCAAACTTTTTATCCAGGGGATTTGTGGATACCTTTAGAAAGCAACACCCTGGTGTTGTTGGGTATACTTACTGGGGTTATCGACATGGTGGACGCAAATTTAATAGAGGTATTTCACACTACTACTATATTCATAGTTTTGATAATTCAGATTTGCTATTGCATTTGATGGAGTAGTTAACGGTATTAATTTAAAACATGTAGTTTTGTTCTGAGTGTTCTCTTCAAGCAGACATTCTAAGTGTTCATGATTTGCATACTTTGTTCTGCAATTTTCTGCGTGAGGCCAAAATATTTATATTTTACGCTGGATTTTTTTCTTTGCAATTTGTTTTATAAATCGGAAGTCTGATTTCTTTGTTATTATTATTTCTTCTAACAAAACTCTGATTTACTTGGATTTTGAACTAGGCTGGCGGCTTGACTACTTCCTCGTCTCGGAATCCATAGCTGACAAGGTTCATGACTCGTACATTCTGCCGGATATAACTGGTAGTGATCATTGTCCTGTAGGCCTTGTACTTAAGCTGTAGGTAGGGTAAAATCAAAACCAATTTTGTATGTCACCTAAAATGGGAGCGTACAAGTTATAGGTGGAAATTTTGTAGTGCCTTCACCTGTAAGCTTTATTTTTTATGTTCTAATATAATGACCACGTTATTTGTGCTCAATTTGGGTCATCATTATATTATGTCTTCTTTATGCAGAAGCAATTATTTTAATAGGAAATTGCCCCACAATGGATTTATATAAGATTCTCTCGTATTTTTAATTGCCATGCTTCGTTACCAAACCAAATTAATACACGTTCTTAAACAACTCAATGACGACCTGTTGGTCCAACTAAAAATCAACCTTATTTAATTATTTTTGGAATTTGGTATTTGGTTCAAGTATATACATAGGGGAAAAGGCAGAGAAATATCCTCAGTTTTGTCATTCTCATAGTTCCTTCCCAGTACTGTATCTCCATGCATCCAAACTTACTGCTTCTCATTTTTTCTTAGTAAGATTTATTCTTAGTTTTTCATCATCGCCAAAGAAAAAAATAAGTTTATATTTATATATAAATATATGGAGAGAGAAGCCATGGAAGGACTGCTAATTGTAAGAGAGTCTGTGATCCATGAAGAAGCTGCTGCTGATGCTGATTGCAGTGGGGGGAACTCAGTCACCTTTGTTGTTGTTCTGAGTACTTTGGTGGCCCTCTGTGGTTCCTTCTCTTTTGGGTGTGCTGTATGTGACCAAATTCACATAAAAATTATCATTGGCACACTTTTAAGTTTAAATTTACATTTTTCTCAGTTTCTTGTGTTTTCTTGTTAGTTTCTATATTTTCTCATATGCTATGGCCCCTTTTTTTTATTTTATTTTTTATTTTATACAAGCGATAGTCTAAAATACTCTAAATTAATTTAATCTACCAGAGGGACGTCTCCTGCCTATGACCCTGTTAAGTGAGATGAGTTTAGTAACAGATTTAAAACTGCGGCTAATTTGGTTGACTCACAAACCTAATTAATCTACCTCAACTATTACCTGCTTGTTCTATTTCTTTCGTAACTTCTATTTGTCTTGAAACAAAAAAAAAAAAAAAAAAAAACCTTCCATTTGTAGCTTCAATCACATGCATAAGCCAAAAAAGAATAAAAGAGAACTCTTCTGATAGAATTAACCGAAGTTTTTTGTGGAAATCAACCATTAAGCAAGCTGCACTCTGTTTGACTTGTTTGTCCCTTCAATATGCTTTGCTGCATCAAATTGTTAATAATGATAAAAAATGATTAAATGTTCCGAAAATTAGGAGACTATCTGTTCAACCATTAGACTTAAAAATAGGATTGCTGGTTCTGAAAAAAATATACAATTACAAATGCTTTGCAGACAGGATATTCATCAGCTGCAGAATCCGGAATAATGGAAGACTTGGACATCACTGTTGCTGCCGTAAGTGCTAAGTTTCATTTATATTTATTTTAAGCGCAAGCATCTTCTTTTCTAACAAAATTTTCCATGATGGACTTTACAAACATGGATATTCTCTTCTTTCTTAGATTTTAGTATCTAAATTTTCAGTTTCTGCATTTGATAAATTCTCTTCCCAATATGCAGTACTCAGTTTTTGGTTCAATACTGACAATTGGAGGAGTGCTTGGTGGGTTGGTAAATGGAAGGATAACGGATCTCATTGGTCGTAAAGGTGTAAGTTTTTGTTTCACTCTTTAACTCTAGGCCTGGGGCAGATGTTCAAATTATATTTCATATCTAACTCTTTTCTTCTTTTCCTGCTGATATTGCCAAGCAGACAATGTGGTTCTCTGCAATATTCAGTACTGCAGGGTGGCTCATTATAGCATTTGCAAAGGTTTCTTCTCTTTACGGTCTCCATGTATGCATAGCGAATGCTTTGATGTTGAAATTTGGGGTTTAGCAAAAAAATGGATGTTAGTTAAAGCCCCCAAGTAGGGTCTTCTTTAGTCAATGTCTAAGAAACCTCATGGAAGCAACTTGGAATAGAATGTTTTATGTGATTTACACCAAGACCCTTAGGATAGAACTTAATCTCCTGAGTAGATTTTGGTCTGTAGACTTACATGGCTGAATTCTCATTTGTACAATTGAAAAGAAGTCTAGAGTATATAATGCATTGGAAAACGACATGGTAACAGTATCCTTTTTTTTTCTTTCCTTGCTTCTTGATGTTGCATGCCTGCTTTTGGGTTCCTTCCCTTTCTGGGATTCAATCAGTAGTTGAGTTGAGTTCAATGCTTGATTTAGAATGTTTGGTGGCTGGATATCGGACGACTGTTGGTGGGATTTGGCATCGGAATAATTTGCTACGTGGTAATTGCATACATCCAATCAAATTCTTCTGATTAGTACTGCTAAAGGAGTATTTGGATTCAATCAGTAGTTAGGTTGAGTTCAATGCTTATTTATTTATTTTATTTGAATTTTAGATCAGTGTATAACTTATCCATACCTAATTCTTATTCATAAATAGGTACCTGTATACATAGCAGAAATAACACCTAAGGACCTCAGAGGAAGGTTTACTTCAGCTAATCAGGTATGACTATAATTACTTTGTTGTGAATATGCAAGAAAGTTCCAACTCCTTTTTCTTTGTGCTTCCCCTCTTACTATTCCTTCTCTAATTACAAGCCATAAATGTCATTATGTGCACAGTTGATAATCAGCTGCGGTTTTTCGGTAATGTATTTCATTGGAAATACCTTAAACTGGCGCATCATGGCTGTGATTGGTAAATTATCTCTTAGTCTCCTACCTTGTATTTATTTTATGAATGCATCAAAATTGAATCAAGCACTTCATACTCATAGAGTTTATATTCAGGTGCTGTTCCATCTCTACTACAAATTATAGGTTTATATTTCATTCCAGAGTCTCCAAGGTGGTTGGTGAGTCCAATTCAATCTTTAAATTGCTTTGCCTTGGTGACCTTATTCTGCCAACAGGACAAGCCTACAAGTCTTTTAACTTCAAATAAATAAATACATTCAGCAGTGAGAAATTTTCGATTAGAATGCTCAAATGATTGAAACGTGTCTGCAGGCCAAAATCGGTAAACAGAAAAACCTTGATGCTGCTCTGCGGCGTCTCAGAGGAAGAGATTCTTGTATATCTCAAGAAGCATCTGATATCATGGTAACCTACCAAGTTACATTTTCATATTATTTTTCAAAATTCTCTGTTTGGTATGGAAACATGAAATAAGACAGCTCTCATATTGTGGCAGAATTATACAGAAATCTTTCAGCAACAGTCAGAAAGAATGCTAGACTTGTTTCAGCAGAGATATGCTCACTCACTCATTGTAAGTTATCTCAGTCAAAAATTATGTAGTGTTCCGCCTTCCCTCTTCATGATATTTCTTCTGACCTTTATTTGGTATAGGTTGGACTCGGGTTGATGTTTCTGCAGCAATTTGGGGGGGCCAATGCAATTGCTTATTATGCAAGCTCTGTGTTTGTAGATTCCGGTAAATCAAAAGCTTTCTAAGTTTTCTCCATATATTTAAAGGAAACATAACAGAAATCCTTATTTCCTCTCTTTTCTGGCAGATTTTTCGAGTAGCATTGGGACTATATCAATGGCAATTATCGGGGTACATATGTTTCGTAATTGCAAGTGAAGAGAGTTTTTTTTTTTTTTCTTTTCAATGTATATCTCAAATGAGTAGATACTCTTTTCACAGTTACCTGGTGTTGCAATGAGTGTGCTCTTAACCGATAAATCTGGAAGGCGACCACTTCTGATGGTGAGAATGGCAAATAATTTAAGTTATATATTGAAATCAATAAGTTCACAGTGAAGTCACCAAATGTTTGCAGGTTTCTGCTGCAGGAATGTGCTTGAGTGCCTTTCTTGTGGGCTTGGCATTTTGCTTTCAGGTTTCTCCCCAAACTAAATTTTAATACTTCTCTTTCTCTGCTGCTCTTTGCTTAAGAAAAAATCATCATACTCTGAACTACATCTTTTGGTTATGGCAGGACCTCCATCGATGGAAGGAGCTTACTCGTATTCTTGTGCTTATCGGAATGTTGGTAAACACATAATAACTGGAAGACAAGTATTCCTTCTCTTCTCTTACAAAAGTTGGTCGCATCTTGTCTCATTTCATTACTCTTTGACAAACAAAAAATCATGTGTAATCTCAAAGGCTTTGAACATCTATAGTATATGAGCTCATTTTGGATAGGTTTGGCATAAAGGTAGTTCTACAAAACAAAAAATTTACCTATTGCTGTAATCTCTAGCATGGTGAAACATGTACCTTTCTGAGACCATTTGAGCAATGTTTCAACTTAACGTTGATCATACTGCATTCAGGGTTATAGCATATCGTACACAACGGGCATGGCAGGATTACCCTGGGTTATTATGTCAGAGGTAGGTTGTTAGTACTAGTGTTCTTGAGCTTCGTCTGCGTCCATTAACTTATTACCAGGAATTTAGCAGAAGTTTAAAGTTTTATAACAAAGATTTGATGATTTCCATTTCAGATATTTCCCATAAACGTTAAAGGCGCAGCTGGAAGCCTTTCAAGTTTGGCAAATTGGTCTTCTTCTTGGATAACAACATACACCTTCAATTTTATGATGGAATGGAGCTCAGCAGGTCTTCTGCATATATATATTTTTTTTTTTCTTCTTTTGTGTTTCACTTGTTTTTTTCTTGCTCATCTTCTGTATACTAATAGTTGGTCATACTACAGGAACATTTTTCATCTTCTCAGCCATTTGCGGTTTAGCTATTCTGTTTGTTGCAAAGCTAGTGCCGGAGACTAAGGGGCGAACTCTAGAAGAAATACAAGCATCCATTGCCCATTTCTCTAATTAGATGAATTGCATATCCATGCTATGACAGTGTTATGTTTTGAACACTAAAATCTGATCACTTTTTATGTTATCATACTGATATGGTTTTGATGATCATAACAAAGTGATTAAAACCTGCATAATCATTGTGCAATGACATTGTGCTAGATCTTGATTTTTTTCTGCCTTGCAAGTTTTTGCCCAAAAGAGGAAAAACTAACCATATATTTTTCGAGGATGAAGAACGTAAAAAAAGGAAGAAGGAAAGTTGTCCCGCATCAACCAAGTAAGCTCTGAGTAAGAGCCTTATAATTGTGCTTCTAGTCGATGACAACATGACAATCCGGAAGATAAGTGCCTTGGGAAAGAAAATGGATGTCCCTGAATTCATGAAACACTCCCGGAAGAAAAGTCCCTGAATCATTAATTGTCCCTGAATAAGTAGTCCAATCCCGTGCTTTATCTTGCCCAACAAACAAGAAAAGAATGTGGAATTGCATTGCATTTAATTCAACTAATGCATTGAATTTAAGATGTGTGCATGCACGTACCAAATTAGTAGATCTTACTCATTAAATTCAAGGATTCCTTTTTCTTTGTGTGGATCAAATTAATTACATTACATTTGATTTTTAATATAATTGAATTAATTACAGTTTTTTTATGTTAAAAATAAAATTTATGCAATAAAATAAATAAAGATATGCAATAAAATAGATATAAAAAGTCATCTTCTAAAAAAATCCAAATCCGCAAAATTATAAATCACAAAAATACACTATAATATAACCATAACCTATTTGTGATATCCATGAGTTTACTGACTTTACATATTCCTCCACTCTTCTTCATCGATTCTACCATTTCTATCTGCTTCCATGAAAGGTGAATGTCCATGACATACACAAGAATGTATAATTGCCGAGACCAGAAATGGGGGGATCCGGAAGAGCAATTATCAAGGAACAATGGAGTCAAATCCATACCTTGTCCACAATAATTTCAACGATATGATCTGAATAATTAGATAGGATTCATTCAAAAGAGCCAGTATCATCTCCTTACGAGTGTTTTTAACATAGATGGGTTTCATGTGAGATTATCAATGTGCTTCGTATCTCAGCTAAAAACAAGAATCATGAAGGATATCCATTCAGAAAATTGAACACTCGTCATACGATTTTATGCATGCAGAAAATAGTGAAAATCCATAGGTTAATGAATGATAAATGGATAACTCTGTTCAATCATAAAAATAGTAAGCTGTTATATTTATTGAGTACCTTAATTTTGAGATATATTTGTACATAGAAACTTTGCTACTACAAATACACAGACCATCATGATGATTATTATGTTACAATTCTACACATGAGGCTATTCTAAATATATATATATACAGTTATTCTCTTATCCGGATGTCCGCACGTTATTATCGTGCGGATCCTATTGTAAACAGGCAGGAAAACAAAGAGGGGTAGTACAAAATACACTGCGTCCGCACGATAATAACGTTCGGATGTCCGCATAAGAGAATTTCTGTATATCAGTTATTCTCTTATCCGGATGTCCGCACGTTATTATCGTGCGGATCCTATTGTAAACAGGCAGGAAAACAAAGAGGGGTAGTACAAAATACACTGCGTCCGCACGATAATAACGTTCGGATGTCCGCATAAGAGAATTTCTGTATATCAGTTATTCTCTTATCCGGATGTCCGCACGTTATTATCGTGCGGATCCTATTGTAAACAGGCAGGAAAACAAAGAGGGGTAGTACAAAATACACTGCGTCCGCACGATAATAACGTTCGGATGTCCGCATAAGAGAATTTCTGTATATCAGTTATTCTCTTATCCGGATGTCCGCACGTTATTATCGTGCGGATCCTATTGTAAACAGGCAGGAAAACAAAGAGGGGTAGTACAAAATACACTGCGTCCGCACGATAATAACGTTCGGATGTCCGCATAAGAGAATTTCTGTATATCAGTTATTCTCTTATCCGGATGTCCGCACGTTATTATCGTGCGGATCCTATTGTAAACAGGCAGGAAAACAAAGAGGGGTAGTACAAAATACACTGCGTCCGCACGATAATAACGTTCGGATGTCCGCATAAGAGAATTTCTGTATATCAGTTATTCTCTTATCCGGATGTCCGCACGTTATTATCGTGCGGATCCTATTGTAAACAGGCAGGAAAACAAAGAGGGGTAGTACAAAATACACTGCGTCCGCACGATAATAACGTCCGGATGTCCGCATAAGAGAATTTCTGTATATATATATATATATATATATATATATATATATATATTTATGAACAGTCTATTGCTAATTTTCCTTTCACTGATAACCATCTTCACACATAATCCCTTTAAGTGAAAAAAATTAAATAAAAAAAAGAACAAATTGGTACTCTGCAGTAGCTGCATCTTCATGTTTCCATTATATAAGGTAAATTTAGCCCACCCTATTTTAAAATCCTGGATCCATCCCTATCCTGAGCACCTTGCATTCTGATTTCATGAAAGATGAAAACAAACAATCAAAAGCACGCTGCCCAATCTTTATTGCACTAAATTGACTAAATGCTAACCTCAATATATTTGGAATCAATATATTTGGAGCAGGAACATCTAAAAGACAGATAATTCACAGAAGAGAACCAATATCCCTTAGTAACATGCTTGCTCTGAGATAGCTTATAACCTCCAATTATAATGAGTACTAGAGCCTACACAAGCTGGCGTAAGTTCTATTATTAATCATAATCAACGAAGAACAACTAATCTCAGAAGTTACTATAGCAATCAAGAATATCCTATCTGTCTTCAATAAGTTTTTCACATTCGCCTCTCGTCTTCTATGGAAAACCAGCGGTCCACACGAACTTATGCCTCAAAATCTTTAACTCAATGGGCATCCGAAACAAAAAAGAAACCACTGGGACTTACCTCCCTTCACTCGATGTAACCAGTGTGCCCCAATCATACAATTCAAAAGCATCTGCCATTCAAATGTATCCATTTTAGAGTCTGCATTTGAGTTGAAAAGCAAAGCGGTAGAAGATTCTTTGCAAGACATGCTAGACTATAATACTTCAAAAATAATTAAAATAAAATTCATAGAAAGAGGATCTCCTAGCATATTATAAGCTAATTCCAAGAGACACTGGAGATCTACATGCATAGATTTCTTAATTAACATTGACAAAGCTTCAAATTTGGAGTTTGAATTCAGTAGCAAAAGGCAATGCGGACATTCACCAGGATCATCCTCAAGAACCTTAGCAACAATAAGTTCACTGGCCCACTCAAGCCATTGCTGTCAGTGAAGCGATTGGGATTTGAATGAGATGATAAATTAATGGAGCTATTGAGCCCATTTCCTTTTGTTGAAGATGGCATCTGATATCCATCCAACCAGCAGTAACATCCATCGTAGATTTCACTCATTGAGTTGGAGCCATAAATCGATTCATTCACATTTTTAGGAGGAACAGGGCTAAAACCAGGTGGTGGACCGAGGTGCCTAACAGGTCGACTTACTGGATTCTTTCGGATACCTGTGGGCAGGTTTGATGATGTCTTTACAGTCAAACCGTCAGCAATTGCTCCAGAAGATGATATAGCATCAACCTTAAATGGCAACATAGCTTCTGGAGCTTTTGTGGGGCTGTAGACCGTACCACTAGTACTACCATTTACTGGCTGCTGGAATGGAATTGAATTGAAACTGCCACAGGCTCAGATGCTAGTACATACCCATTCCCCATAAATCCCATACTCCTTAAGCTGTGAACAAGAGACATTTCTTCCTCTGTTGACAACTTCAAAGCATGTGATAGAGTTGGTTGCAAATTTTGGGGGATACTATTAGCAATTGATACAGGTAAATGTGAACTAGCACCAAAACCAGCTTCCATTGATAGCTTGGAAGCATGTGACTGAATTGATTGCAAATGTTGGGGTATGCCATTATAACTTTTGTATTCACCAAAGGAAAACTTTGATGTCGTTAAGGGTTCTTAACTTCTTACCTCATATATTTAGAATTATACAAACCCTAGCCGTTAAGAGAGAGAGAAAGAAAAATAGAAAGAAACCTTCAGATCCGAGGGTGTTCTTAGTCTCTCTAGCAGAGTCATGCCCGTTAGTGGCTAGTTTTGGTTCTTGATGTCATTGGACTAGATTCGGAGAAATTATGGCGGTTGAAAGGGGTTTTAGGAAAGTTAATTTCGAGAGTGTTTCTCTCCAGATCGTGTTAGTTTTTTGACTAGCTCAGGTCATTGGGGAAGTTTTACACATGGGTGCCATATTGTTATAGGAATGACTCCATTTACAGTCTGTGTCCTTTGTACTCATTATTCATTTTGATCTAATAAAGTTCTATCACCTTTTGTTAAAAAAAATTTATAAAAAAAAACAAAAAAAACATCCTACCTCAATGTGGAGAAATTATACAATAGTACAGTATTACCACGTGGCACTTGCCAGGTGGTAGTACGCACCTATAATATGGTGACACTTAGATAACAACTACTGAAAAAAAGCGGAACTAACGTCCGTTTAATGTTGGTCTGGATGCTTCTATGGTCTGTCTTTTTTGCCTCAAATATTGCATAGCTTTCGTCCGTCTTTGGATCTCTCGAGAAGCCATGGCTATGGAGTTTTTCGTTCAACCCACTGGGATCTCTCAAAAAACCATTAACTCTCATAATTTCTTTCAACATAAAAAACATCATAAAAATTTATTTTAGATTTTTAATTATACACGCATAAAATCGCAACCCATATTGTTTGAGCCTACCATTTAACAAACACCAACCCAAGCAATTGCAAAAGACGATGGACTCAAGAACAAATTCGAAGCAAAGATCCTAAAATTAACCCCCGTTTGCCTGGAAAGAAAAAGAAATTCAATGTTTTCCTTTACTAACACCCAAGAACAAACTGGGGGAAGAAAATAATTTCTTAAAATTTTTATGAAATAAAAAAAACGGAGAAGAAATTAAGAGGGTTTATGAAAATCTGATGGCACCAGCACCAACATAGCCACTCCTCAAGGAGTCAAATGAATCTTGCAGAAATGGAAGCCGCTGGTGATGGATAAAGATGGGGAAGTTTCATTTCATGGACGGTGACGTTAACGTTGATATAAAACAAAACGTT